GGTAATGTTTGTGTGTTTTCATGTTATGAAGACTTTAAGTCACCTCATTTCAAGTGTTACATATGTATATATGTAAATATACTACACATACCTGACAGTGAAGTGGTCCATGTACCTTATCTGACGTAGTGATGACAATCAGTAAATGTTTCAGTGATCAAGTTTGACACCACTAGTCAGCTGAATGTTTTCAAATGAAAGTTTTGTTGTTTTATGGAAACAATCTGATTTATTGAATTATTGTTAACATATTCCTGTAACCGTGGTTACTAATCGAAAGAACCGAGGAAATTTCAGTAAATGGCAGGATGTGCTGATTTACCTGGAGTCTGTGACTTGAGCCATACGCTCAACAAATAATACGATGATCTTAGCTGTGGTTACTAGTAGTCAAAGGAGTGGTGGCACAGACTTTACCAGCTGAGGAACTGCACGAGGAAGGTCTGCTACGGGCATTAAACAGGTCTATCTCCCCATATACATTCATTACTCTAACAGTGACATGTGAATAAGAAGGTGCATATATTACCCATGTGTCTTCATATCATAAATGTTTTACATCAGAAACAGATACTGGATTATGCATGCCTTTGACTTCTAATATATGACATATATGACACAAGGAAATATTTGATGGTATATGTTATTGTTAAGTTACCTAAGCATAGGTCATATAGGTAGACAATCAGTAAGTAACTCATACAGTATGGGAATACAAGGCCTGTGTGAGTCTCCACATGTGTTGCCAGCTGAGTTAGAGCCATTTCTGTTGACTAGCACCCTGACATCAAGAAACTCATATCTTTATGGACCAGTGAAGATCTTTGTTAGAATTGATCTTCAGTAACCCATGCTTGTCATAACAGGCGACTAACGGGAGCGGGTGGTCAGGCTCGCTGACTTGGTTGACACATAGTCAACCCAGTTTCGTAGATTGATGCTCATGCTGTTAATCACTGGATTGTCTGGTCCAGACTCAACTATTTACCGGTACAGACCGCCGCCATATAGCTGGAATATTGCTGAGTGCAGCATTAAACAACAACCAACTGTATGTTACTGTCTGAATACCACCGGAAGCTTTGGCTGAGTGGTGAGTGCACACCTGGACGACTGAATCCATACATTAAACTGCACCTGGACAACTCTGAAAGTAAGTGTTGTTCCTGACATCGATTGGATTTGAATTTTTCTATTGTATGTTATATTTGGTAGACATATTGTTTCGCCACAATGCATTTGTATGACAATACTCCATTGCAAGTTAAGACAGTGAAGATATTTTAATTTTCATAATCTTAGACAAATGTTCAGTTATGATTGTGATTTCACAGTTTCATGTTTTTGTGAAACATACTGAGACTGAACAAGAGCTGTATCCCTATGCCAAAATGTGAGTGTAATGTAAGAATTATTAGAAAGGACAATCGAAGTGTTAAGTGCCATACAACAGATATTTAGATGTTGTATTAAGTTTGTTGTTCACCAATACATTGGTAACTGTTCAGCTTATATATATTTACTGCCCGAAAGATGGAATATAAAATGTTAATCTCATTACCTTGCTACTCCAGCTATAGTTTTGAGAGATATGTAGCTGGAAACGCCTAACAAATATTTCTAAACTATTTTTTTAGTTAATGGTGTTTTAGTACATGATGCTGGTAGAGCTAAAAGGGCAACCGCAACACAATCATGGCTTCATACCAGACTGTAATCAGAGTTACCTCCCTTAAATACACATTGGTTAATACCGCCTCCGTGGTGTAGTGGTTAGAGCGTCCGCCCGGAGAGCGGAAGGTTGCGGGTTCGATCCCCGACCGCGTCATACCAAAAAGACGTTAAAATATGGTACTTGTTGGTCCCTGCCTGGCGCTCGGCATTAATGGGTACAACAAGGACTGGTCGGCTCGGAATCAGTATAATGTGTCTGAGTGGGGTATTCATGCTTCACTGCGGCATGGTATCTCTAGGGCTAGCAGTATAAAACCAGCTTCAGTCTGGGTTAGTACAAGCAGCTGCACATACACATACACATGCATGCACGTCGTCATATGAGCGAAATATTCTCAAGCACAACGTAAAACCCAATTTCACCTCACCTCACCTCACCTCACCTCAGTTCACACATTGGTTAACTATTAATAGTCAAATGTAGATGTTGTCAGATCTTGACATTGTGTTCAAGAAAGATAGGAAATCTTTATTGTTGAAAGACTGTGGAAGAACTTGAGAGAGATTGTTAGGATTATATATACAACCATGCAACATTGAAAGTTTACCACGACATAGTCTTCCAGAGTCTCACAAACCCAGGGGGCGGTGGGGTAGCCTAGTGGTTAAAGCGTTCGCTCGTCACGCCGAAGACCTGGGTCGATTCCCCACATGGGTACAATGTGTGAAGCCCATTTCTGGTGTCCCCCGCCGTGATATTGCTGGAATATTGCTAAAAAGCGGCGTAAAACCATACTCACTCACTCACTCACTCACAAACCCAGACTCTGGCTTCCTGTACGCTGTAAATACTGCACCAGTCAGACATGGTCACATACTCTACTACAATTGTGCTCTTACTTGCATGTTTATATAAGTCTGTGATTGAATTGTTTTGAGTGATTGAACAAAGTTTACTTAACATATGATTACTTAAACAGTGTTTTCATAGATATGAAAAGGTAATGAACAATTGCTTGGATGATTGTATTTATTTAGTGCAAAATTGTTTGGTAAAAAACATTTGTTTCAACACATTTGGTTTGAGATAATGATTACTCTGGAATGTTGTAATGGAGATGTTGACACAGCCACACCACTGGGCAGGCTTATTCTATTAACTACAGGTAGCGGGGCAGAATGTCCTTGTGTACAACAGTAACACCTGTGTAGGGCTGACTCCCACACATAAGCTGTGTTTGTATAATGGAAACATGTTTTAGCTGTGGGAGTAGACTGTCATGCACACAGCATACCACGATGCCCTTCTGAGATCAATCCCAACACACACTGGTTCCAACTGCCTTGTTACACTGTCTCATCAGCCTGTCTCTACACACACACACACACACACACACTTTATAATGAGACTGTCACACAGACTGAAGGGTTTCTGGTCACATGTTTTAGCTGTGGGACTAGACTGTCATGCACACAACATACCATGATGCCCTTCTGAGATCAATCCCAACACACACTGGTTCCAACTGCCTTTGTTTCACTGTCTCATCAGCCTGTCTCCACACACACCCACACACACACACACACTTTATAATGAGACTGTCACACAGACTGCAAGGTTTCTGTTCACAACCCCCTCAACCTGCCCCCCCCCCCATCAACCAGGTTTGTCCAGGTACAACCTGATGGTCACATTGCCAGTACATGTACATACCTTTTATCCTACCAGCTAATCTCATCGCACACATTAATATGATGGTATAGACGGAAGTGCTTTTATCTGATCAGCTTTCGTTTTTATGCTCAGTTTGTATTTTTTATGGTATTTCATTGCTGACATAATCACACCTGAATCATGTAATAAATAACCGAATGAAAGAGAATGTCTTTGTTTAGTTTAAACCAGAAGGAATAGACCCAACCTACAATATGATCTGAGATCCTGTGTGTCAATGACAAGTGGAGGACTCATGAATGGCAGACCTGTGGAGATCGCGGTTAGCATTGGTCTTCAGTAACCCATGCTTGTAGTAAGAGGCAACAAAGGGATCGGATGGTCAGGTCCGCTGACAAGTTATTGTATCCTGGAGGTGTAGATTGATGCTCATGTTGTTGATCACTGGATTATTTGGTCCAGACTCCATTATTTACAGACTGCTGCCATGTACCTGGGATATTGCTGCATGCAGTGTTAAACAGCAAACAAAAGCAACAACATCGTTATAGCTGCCTTCATGTTACCACCGACACAACAGTGGTCCAGTGGATGGACCAGCTGTCTGGTGAGTTGAGAGTTGGTGTTTGATTCTTGACCCCTTCATACCAATATATGGCACTTGTTGTTGCCTTGCCTATCACGCAGCATTATGGGAATAAAACACAGACTGTTGTACTATAGCATGTTAGAGGAGTTTCCACTGCAGGTGCTTCCTGAGTTGGCTTTCTCTATAATAAGAGGGTTCTGTATACTACAACAGACAGCATGTAACCACTGATGGTAGGTTTATGGTGCCAGCCCACCCATATAGGTGCCACAGTTAAACACAGATACCCCACTCAGTGGGTGAGTGACTTCAGTTTTAGTCTGCATTTAGCAATATTCAAGCAGTATCAACACGGGAGACACCAGAAATGGGTTTCACACATTGTACCCATGTGGGGAATCGAACCCGGGTCTTCGGAGGTTACCAGCGAACGCTTTAACCACTAGGCTACCCCACTGGCCCACCCCACTCAGACACAGCCAAGTAGGGTAAGGACATGTATCATCTTTAAAGTCTCATTGTGTTGTTATACGTACAATGTGACATATGATGATCAGAATGACAAGAACGGTGTGTATGTATGAGGTAGGTATACCATGAAATCCCAGTTTAAGATGGACATCCCTCTCGGGATCAGTGAAACAATGCCTGACTTATCCCCTCAGTGCCAAGCCGAGTGTTAACGAGTGCCATATTATTTTCAAGTCTTTGGAATGATGCGTCAGGAGATCAAACCACCCCCGTTCCTATATCTGGTTAGACAGGGGCGGTGGGGTAGCCTAGTGGTTAAAGCGTTCGCTCCTCACGCCGAAGACACGGGTTCTATTCCCCACGTGGGTACAATGTGTGAAGCCCGTTTCTGGTGTCCCCCGCCCTTATGTTGCTGGAATATTGCTAAAAGCGGCGTAAAACCAAACTCACTCACTCACACTGTGCATCCACTAGACCATGGAGGCAGTCGACCATTTGATACCGGAGTTCTGGACACAACTGGTCCAAAGTTCAGTTGTCTGTGCGCCAGATACACAAACGACCGTCGGATCCACACAAACACGGTCGAAGGGAAAGGTATTTGTTTTATTTCAATAACTCCAAGTAAAACAATGGATAAAGATTTTAAGTCGTAAAGATATCACACAATAAAACATTGCACCTGTTCATTAATTTATACACAACCAAACAAGCCATAATCACACTAGCCAAGTCTCTACTCTCACACTGAGGAAAACCATTCAGGCCGGAATGAACCCTGGGGTAAAGATGAATAAATAACACACACTTGCACTGCCAAATTTCTGTTAGATAATCCACAACATTGTTAGCTAGTTAAACTGATCTGAAAAAAAGAACAAATCAATAGATAATTAACAAATATGTACATTGTTATATATACACTAAGTCCTACGGTGAATAGAAAGACAAGAAAGGTATGCTACTCTGTTATAGTCCTGCTGAAATCTCTGGAGTGCGTGAAATTGGTAATGTCCGTGAATATATATGAAAAGAGGTGAAAATATGACGTATTAAAGGAATATTGTTAGGAAATCGTAATAAAACTGTGCAGCAATAAACATTATATATAATGGAACTGTCAACATTACCTACCAGGAAGTTACCTTTAAGAATAAAACGGATGTAAGCTATGGCATAATGTTCCTGATTATTCCATACCACTCTAAAAATACACCGCAATAACAACTGGAGTCACACTGGGAATGGCTAGGGCAACTGTAAACATGGATATCACACATACATGCGCGCGCACACGCACACACACTTTCACAACATACACATGGGGTGAGCAATTGTGGAGCTACACGGGGTGAGGTGTTCACTTGAGGTGACGGGTGGGATAAAGATAATTGAGGTGAGAGGTAGACAGATATATGACCGGAAGTCTCAAACCATTTCATGAAAATACTGGTTCCTTCTGTTCAAACGCGACATGTGTAGGAACACCCTTATATTATACAACATTCGCCAATATTTCATGTATTTCAAGCGGTTTCCAAAAGAACTATATAAGTGTGCATTTATTGTATATTTTATGTACAAAAGTTCTTCTGTAGAAGGATATTTTTGTATCTACCTCCAAACTAACACTAACATTTAATTGTTTGAAACTGAAGAACATTGTCAAAACAAGGTTAAAATGTAAAATATCTTAAAACATTTAGCGTGTTGAAAATAACTTAATATACAAAAAAATAGAAATGTTTCAATGCAGTTGCTATGGCACTTGGGATTCACAACTGTGTAACAAGATGGGGTGTTATCATTGATGTATGTGTGCTCACTGGTTTTTGGAGGAGATGACAGTAACAGGTTGAGGAAATGCATTTGGAAAAAAATTGAAGCATATTAAAGTGTTAAGGACAAATTAAATTCAGATTTTCGAATACACAATAATGGGAGCATCCTTCAATAAAAAACATATTTAAGACCTTATTTAATGACATCTGTCCATAAATAACGTTACTGTGGTATCCATATTGAAAATCAGATTCGAATCTCTTGAACAAGATTCCCGTTTCATTTGTCTTTGTTTTTGCAATTTGCGATGGACAAACAAGCTCCCGTTATTTTCAGTAATACTAATTCATAAGCCTACACCTAGACCGAAGTCAGAATGCAGGATATACAGTGAGTCACATTGCTATAGGTTCTGAACTGATAACTGAAACCTCGTAATTGACAGCTGAACTCGCACCTTGAACAGGGAAGCACTTAATCAGTTGTCCTTGTTTGAGGATTATATATTTGACTGTAAACTGAAATTGCTTCATTAGATTGTTTTGCAGAAGACAAAAGTAAGAGGAGAGAGAGTGTTATATGATTTCGATGAAAGTTTGGATGTGACTGACTGAACAAGAATGTGATTGATAATAAATATTTTCCCAAAACTCCAAAAGCTCACAGCAAACATAACGTAGTGTCATCCTCAAAATGTGTTGATTCATCAATGTAGGACATTTAATTATGCCTGGCATGTTCATTGTTTATTGCTTGTATTCGGAACTTATTCCCCTTATCTGTGTCAGGATCCGTTGTCACAGACTTCAAATTCAAATACTATGCTCAACGTCCACGGCCTGTGTCACTTCCGGTTTTCCCTGACATCAAGCTGTCATCAGCTTCCGTCATATAGCATATACTGTGTACAGCAGGATTAAACACAAGAGGAACCAAGACATTCTACCATACAACTTACCGACTGTATGGCTCAAGGACTTACATGACTGTAAACGACACATGAACCAACAGTACTTCACACGGGTTTTCAGACGAAACGTATACAACCAGCGCTTGATCATGATCACATGACTGCACCAAGCCTTAATGTTGACAAACACAGATACACAGCAGATTGTGGACAAACATGGAAATACGACAGTTTGGTGAAGGACACGCGGAACCCGTGGTAGGTTGTGGACAAACATGGAAATACGACAGTTTGGTGAAGGACACGCGGAACCCATGGCAGGTATTGGACAAACACACAATGGCAGATAGTGAAGGGTACACGGGACGGTGACGGAATCAGGGGATCCAAAAAGTGGATTTTGTCAGAGACACGGGATCCAAAGGCAGGCTGTTGACACACAAGGGATAGTACAGCTGGTTCTTGACAAACTCAGGATCCTACAGCAAGCTGTTGACACACACGGGATCCTACAGCAAGCTGTTGAAACGCGATATCCTACAGCAGGCTGTTGACACACACGGCATCCTACAGCTGGTTGTTGACACACACGGGATCCTACAGCACGCTGTTGACACACGGGATCCTACAGCTGGTTGTTGACACACACGGGATCCTACAGCACGCTGTTGACACACATGGCATCCTACAGCTGGTTGTTGACACACACGGGATCCTACAGCTGGTGCTGACACACACGGCATTATACAGCTGGTGTTGACACACACGGGATCCTACTGCAGCTTGTTCACCTGTGAGTGTTCCGTCTGACAGATGATCTTATGGCCTTGCTTCCACGCCTTCTTCTGACAGGCCACGGAACAATACCAGGCTCGGTGACATTTTCCACATGATGGGAACTTCTTGCCCTCTTCAACCTTCACCCGACATGTAGTACACGATGTTGCGTCGTCACCTTCATACTGACATCGTAGACAGTGACACCAGAAGTTGAAAGACTTGTACAGCCATGCGCGCCGTAGTTTCCGCGGCATGGAGGTGTCGATGTACGTGGTGAGAACCTCCTCGCCCTTCTTCACGTTCCGTTTGGCGATTACAGCAACACCAGGCGTGTTATCGCCACAACGGCCATCGCGGACCTCCACGTTGTTGTAGCAGGAATGGTTCAGACAAGCATGGAGGGCAAACATTCCCGTGAAGGCGGACTGTTTAGGATTCTTCTGCAAATATTTGAGCATCTTCAGACCACGTGGGTCGCCCTTGTTGGCGACGTTTGTGAGGAAGTGCTGGTACGGTGTGATGTAGGAGGTGAACATCTGAAGGTTACACGTTGCCTGGTAGTAGCGGCCGTTGAATTCTGCCTCCGTTATTTCGTAGCTGATACCGTCGCCGTTGTTCTGGAAGATTTCCTGAAATACCTTGATCATATCGGGCATCCTGTCTGTTGCCTTCGTACACCCGAATGCTATGAACCTGTCACAGAACAAAATGGAAACAAATGAACAGACATCTACTAAAACATGAACTTGGGTGTTTCAAAAACTTTCCCAGACTATTTGTGTTCTTGTTTTATGGAATTTCTTGGTCACAAATATTCAAAGAATTGTTAGTGTGATCTGTTGTTAAATTTCGACACAAAAATTAATGCAAAATAAATGGAAAATATCGGTACCTTCGCAAAAATCGATGCTCATGCTGTTGCTCACTAGATTGTCTGGTCCAGACTCGATTATTTACAGACCGCCGCCATATAGCTGGAATATTGCTGAGTGCAGCGTAAATCTAAACTCACTCACTCAATCGCAAAGGAGACATCACTAATTGTTAACGGCAAGTAGACATGACACTTGGTTCAGCTACCACCAGACATGATACACGGATTCACTGTACGCTGAGTGCCGTGGGGCCGCCAAGTGCTTTAAGGCATATCGTTTTGTCACTACTTACAACTGATTATCCATGTTGGAGCAGTATGTGAAGACTATGTCAATAAAATGCAGGAATATTGCTTAAAGCGACAACCCAACTCCCTAACTTACCGTGGGCTGCAAATGATGTGAAAAACAAGTGTTGTCTTTCAATGAAACCATTTTGGGACTCAAACCCATTGGATAGGTTCCCAGGACAGTGTCAATCCCTTGAACCACGGCCTGATGTAAGGGTGAGTGAGTGAGTGAACGATTGGGTTTAATGACACCTTCTCAAACCAAGAACCGTAATCAAGCGCTTGATCTAAAGGACCGTCATTCAGTACCGGGTGGGTCACAGTTTTGTGACGCAATAATTTACTGAAACCAAAACCCCTCCCCTGTTGCTTTTCAGTTTTTACTTTCGCCATGTCCGTGTCCATTTTTTGTTCGTTGTGTTCCCTAAAATACTGTTCAAGTATTTATCAATTTAATGGAAACACACACACACACACACGCAGACGCACACACACACATGTTTATTCTCATATATTACCCTCCCCCTAGAGTCATTTCCCTCTGGCACGGACGGTTATGTGTGTAATGGTGTAACCATTGGTATGCAAGGTCCAGGGACCCTATCCACAAAACGTTCGCAGCACTATGTCATTCGTAAGCCTATAGTAAAGTACAAAGTTACGATATGTCGTAACGTCACGAACGCTTTGTGGATCGGGACCCAGATCTGATTACTTTGGGCCACCTTGCTGGAATATTGCTGACAGGGGCATAAAACAACATGCACTCATTTACTGTTCATCAAAACCTTTGGTACCTCCTGAATGGGGCTTTTGCCTTTGCCCAATGTTCTGCTGATGGTTGTGTTAGACCTTCCGATCTCATCATGGTCTTGGCATCCTGTACAATGGTCCCCCAGATCCTGGCAAGGACCAGTGGACTGTATGACGCCAGCCAAACATCCTCCTTCCTTCCGTCTGCTTGGACCTCAACACCTTTATTGGCTACCAGGTCGTATAGCCGCTTGGCAGCGGGGTTCCTTCCAGGACATATCACCTCGTGGTACTTGGCCCAGGACGCTTTCTGGCACTTGACACTGCAGTACTTCACCCTCTTACACACGTCACACAACACAGGTGTGGTATCCGGCCACAGCTCCTTCACCAGGTCTTTCATTGAGTCATCAAACAAGTCCAGAGCTTCCCCAAAATAGTCCTCCGGGGACAGCAGCGACATGGCACAGTGATGACACCCAGGTACAAAGTAGTTGTTGAGACTTTCAGACAGGACGACTGGCTTGTCTGTCAAGCACTCTGCTCCCTCCTCGATGTCCTCTGTAGCAAATATAGATCGGCCAAACTGACCAAAGTCCACTTTCACTGGAACCTTCTGCGTGAGAGGCCCGTAGAGTCTCTCGGTGCGAACTTTCTGGAATAAGATGGCCGACTCCTCATCCTTGTTGTCACTAATCTTGGTGGCCTTCCGGAACCAGAACTCGGAAGACACTGGCAGCCCCATTTTCAATTGGATTTGGCCTGAAACAAGTCACATGTTAAAAACGTTCAATGTGTTTAACAAATTACAGCTAATTCAGACAAAAACCATAGTGTTACACGTAGGCCCCTAGAGTGTATCTGATTACTTTATCAAATGTTTGGTATTACCTGTGGTGCTTGTTGATATTTATAAAGACATTAAAGGAAAATAACTTTTCCATCCGATGTTTCTGCAGCAAAACCAGGTAGTGTTCACATGCAAAATGGAAAGCTTGTACTCGTGTGGATGAAGAATTAATTACAAACTATACCCTGCCGTTATGGCAACAAACATTTTGCCGATATATCTGTAATCTCTGCAACTGAGGCTCCATACTATGAAGTGGTATCTCGTGATGTATATTAACACTGACTTCATTGTATGTGGACCATCACATGGCTACAAACTTGTGATAAAGGATATTTGAGGTGACTCTGCTGTAAGCTTATCCCCCGGGAATACGGTTTGGTCTGCCCTCTGTGTGGCAATACACCGACAAATATGGAACCCGTGAAGATCCGGGTTAGAATTGGTCTTCAGCAACCCACGCTTGTCGCAAGAGGCGACTAACGGGATCGGTTAGTCGGGCTCACTGGCTTGGTTCATGGTATCCCAATTGCGTAGATCGATTCTCATGCTGTTGACCACTGGATTGTCTGGTCAAGACTCGATTATTTACAGAACGCTTCCATAGAGCTGGAATATTGCTGAGTGCGGCGTCATACAACTAACCAAACAAACCACATATATAAATGCTATATCAAACCATCTAAACTCTTAACAAACCTAGGGGCGGTGGTGTAGCCTAGTGGTGAAAGCGTTCGCTCGTCGCGCCAAAGACCCGGGTTCGATTCCCCTCATTGGTACAATGTGTGAAGCCCATTTGTGGTGTCCCCCGCCGTGATATTGCTGGAATATTGCTAAAATCGGCGTAAAACTATACTCACTCACACTTAACAAACCTACACGTCATACCCATTTATACTTGATCAACAGGTAGAAGCTGTGTTATTGGTCCCGTCATTATCAACCATTAGGTTAATCTGAATCTGTTTTCCACAGAAATCCCCCCGTATACACAAAACGGCCTACCTCCCTGTTTCCAGACCTCAACTGACCGACTTTGTGGTGGGATGGCGTAGAGATCACGGAGGGAGTCTTCCCGTTGTGACCTGTCCAGAAGGACCTCTGCCCTCAGCTGCCGATACAGAACATTGTAGGGGTCAATGGCTACAGATCTGTCACACTCTCGGAGAGCATCTCCTGTGTTGCCTCCTGCCCGGTACCGTATCGCCATCGCAGCATGTTTGGCGGCATCCTCCGGCTTGGTGTTGGGTATCGGCTCCGCGATCTCCTGGTTATTGCAGATCTTGTGCTTCTTGTTGAGGATCTCCTGTTCCATCTGATAGAGCTCCTTATCGCCGGGGTAGGGATCCTGGGTACAGAACTTCACTGCACTGTACGTCGGCTCATCAACAGACTCTTTCTCATGTTCCGCCATAATGGCTGCTTGTAGTTTCTTGAGTTCATCAGTCACTACTGGATGTTTAGGATCAACTTTCAGTGCATCCTTGTAATATCTGAAAGCTTTTTCAAAAGACTTCGTCCTCGTTGCAGCCCTTCCACAACAAATGCAGGCGTCAATATGGGTGGAGTCCATGTTGTGAGCAGCCTTGGCGTCATTGAAGGCCAGGTTGTATTCATTGAGATCGTAGTAGCATCTGGATCGCCTCAGCAGCAGCTCAATGTTGTCCTGGTTCTGTTCAAGGAGTTTGGAGTATTTCTCGAGTGCACCGTCAAGCTTGTTCTCTTTGTAGAGTCTGTCTGCTTCTTGTAGGGCAGCTGCAGTACCCGCCGGATCTGCCATCGTGCTGGATGGGAACTTACCTGAAGATACATAAGTTTCATAAATACACTTGTTCTGTGAGATTCGCGAATGGTAGTGTGAATGAAAATACGATGTGCTTGAATGAATGTAGATATCCATCACATATCATTTAAACAGTCTCTTGTTTAGCAATAGACAGCTTTGTAGTCTATGGCTGGAGCCTTGCAAAATAATGCAATTCATTACAGTTGAGGTTCAGCGTATTGTAATGCTAGAAGCATTGACAAGCCATGTTGTTTTTACTGAAAAGCGGAGGTCTGGTTCATAGGATAGAGTGTCTGCATAGAGAGATTGAGGTTGGCGGCTCGATGCCCATACGTTTCATACAGACATTACACTGTGCTTACAACTTTTCCATACCCAAGGGCGGTGGGGTAGCCTAGTGGTTAAAGCGTTGGCTCGTCACGCCGAAGACCCGGGTTCGATTCCCCACATGGGCACAATGTGTGAAGCCCATTTCTGGTGTCCCCCGCCGTGATATTGCTGGAATATTGCTAAAAGCGGCGTAAAACTAAACTCAGTCAGTCAGTCCATATCCAAAGAATAGTTTACTGTCTACAAGACAAATGGACCATTCACAACTCGTATAAAATATGTTTGGATAACAGAAGGACACAAGGTGTTGTACCAGATGACAAATAAATTTGGCAAAACTTTCCATACTGTGTTAAGGTACTGTTTACACATGGACTGATGTATTGTAAAACACATTTGTAACGTTGAAAAGATTATTGTCATGAGTTCAATAAATGATGAAACTCAGTGAAAATTGACGAATTCGTAACTAATCTTTACACAAAAACGCAGCTGTTCACATGCATGATATTTGCACATGCTGTACAGCAATTTGATGCATGATCCTCGTGCAATTCATCTGCATAAGGTTTTCAGTTTCAAGTTAGTTGAGAAATTCATTTTCGATGTAACCATACATATATATATAACATATAGTGAGTGCTTTAAGTGAGTCTAAACTTTTGATGGGTAGTATAGATTGGAAAAAAACAACACAGAGCCAATTTCAGTCCTACATGTTTCATTAACTTCTTCAGTAGTAGAAGCAGTAGTACTCCCTGAAGAAATGAATGAAACATCTAGGAGTGAAATTGTTTTTTTTCAGTCTATTTCAATATTTATATATATAAACAATATTTCACAGCTCATACAGCACGTCTTACAACAATACCTAGCCTCTCAGGCAGACACTTCCATCCCACCCCCAAATATATCATTAAATCCTGATGCAAGTATGCATAACTTAAGCAAGTCTAGATTTCGGGAGTTCAGGCCATAGGGATTATCTTGGCTCCTTTCTGTTATTTATCAAAAGGAAACGTAACAAACAATAAAATAATACATTCATTTCAGGAACTATATTTTCATCTGTAACAGTACAGTTTCTTCATGGTTGACTGCAAAGAGATAAAAGAGATAAAATATGTATTTGCAAACGTTCCATACAGAAACAGTGACAATATTCTATAAACTACATAAACAAGATACATGTATATAATCTAGTACTTACCTCTTGTATCTAGATAAAAACTCTACAATAGCCTGGCTTCAGTGATGTTCCTAATCACTGTAAAGAAGCCCTACAAATGTCAGCTCTGAGGGAGATGTAAGTCTAGATAGGATGGGGGAAGCTGGCATTGGGCAGGTTGGGGTGGGGGGGAGAGGTTGGATGAGGGAGAGAGATAGCTGACATTTAATAACTGCCCAGATGCTGTATCTCAAACTATGTGCTGCATTATCTTCCTTAGATCTTGAACTTCGGTGCCCTGTTAGGGTTGGACAAGATTGTGTATTCTTCCTGAATAGTTGACGTGTGCAAATTGTTTTTAACATGACTTTTATTTTGTTTTTACATTTAATTAAAAAAAATTAAAAGTATTAAAAAACATAGGTCTACAGATTATGCTGTAGACACCATGAAGCTACTAATAGGAAGTGCCACTATTTTTATGAAGATTACTGGTGTCTCGCTGGTTTAAAGATGTGTCTTATGGGGTGTCTGGTTGTTTCCTTGTAACCCAATTACACGCTTAACAAATTCCAAATTCAATATACTTATAAATTATTATGCAGATTGAATAAGCTTACACGTTCGTGATCCAAGTTACTTTTGTTCATGAGCATATTTACCTTCATCGCCGTTTATACACACCAGCTGGTATTTGTACATCTTCAATCATTCGTTATTACAATATATGTGCACTATCATGTCAGGCCTGTTTAATGTCACTCTAGGTTTGAGCCTTAGCTATCAGACAATACTCTTGAATGAAATATATTCATAAAAACACATGACGACTACGTTAAGCAAAAATATATAGTTCTCACCCTAAGTGGGCCTCTCAAAGAACACTATCCTGATTCTACTGGCATATCACTGCAAGACAAGTAAATATTTGGACAAGTGAAAGAATTTCAGGAAATCCTGGTCTGATGGATTGCAGTGATAGCCCCGCAAATAGTTCTAGGTGTTTCATGACAAGCCTCCATGAAATATTAGTAAATGTCGGTCCACCAACAATAAACACTGGATATCTGTGCTTACAGCTTGAGAAACAACACGATTAGGGATTAATGAGAGTATCTCCCCCAAACACGTTCAGCCCCGCTGTCTCTCTCCATCACCCTATTCTCTCTCTCTCTCTCAAATTTCTCTCTCCGTCACCATACTCTCTCTCCATCACCCTATTCTCTCTCACTCTCTCAAATTTCTCTCTCTCTCTCTCTCAAATCTCTCTCTCTCTCACTCTCTCTCTCTCTCCAAATTTCTCTCTCTCCGTCACCCTATTCTCTCTCTCCATCACCCTATTCTCTCTCTCTCTCTCTCTCTCTCTCTCAAATTTCTCTCTCCAACACCATACTCTCTCTCCATCACTCTCTCTTCTCTCTCTCTCTCTCAAATTTCTCTCTCCAACACCATACATCTCCCTCTCTCATCACCCTATTCTCTCTCCATCACCCTATTCTCTCTCACTCTCTCTCTCTCAAATTTCTCTCTCTCTCTCTCAAATTTCTCTCTCTCTCTCTCTCTCTCAAATTTCTCTCTCCAACACCATACTCTCTCTCCATCACCCTATTCTCTCTCCATCACCCTATTCTCTCTCACTCTCTCTCTCTCAAATTTCTCTCTCTCTCTCAAATTTCTCTCTCTCTCAAATTTCTCTCTCCAACACCATACTCTCTCTCTCCATCACCCTATTCTCTCTCTCTCTCTCTCAAATTTCTCTCTCCGTCACCATACTCTCTCCATCACCCTATTCTCTCTCTCTCTCTCTCTCTCAAATTTCTCTCTCCATCACCCTATTCTCTCGCCCTCACCACCTAACAGCGATAACACTATCTGCCATATAGGTCCCACGTAAAGAGACAGAAGCTAATTGAACTAATCCTGTAGATACTACATGTCTACACCCCTGTGTTAATCACGTGCTATCAGGCCGATGAAAGCCCGTGGACTACCCCTGTACATCAACTGTGGTGACCCAGACACGGAGATACCGTACGTTTGTTCAGTCGATAGAGCGCGGGTTTAACACACCACACTGTCTGCAGCCTGCACACCGTCCCAACATGTGGAACTTCAAAGCCGAACCATGTTTAACACGTGTACACTGTGCATGGTATATAAGTCGCTATACTGCTACACTGCCTGTAAACATTTACTATCAAATCCACCATGCAAATGTCATAAGGTACGTGTTGTACATCAACCATTTTAAGCTTCAAAGATACTTAGTGTTGAAAATCAAACATGTTTAAGCTCCAAAAATACTTGTTGCTGAAAATAAAACATGTTCAACTATATAGCAGTATGCACAAGATGATTTTAGGATCATGTACAAATATCCAGTAGTGGACTTATAACTCGATTCTAATGTTAATATCAAGAGAAGCTCCTGAAATGAAGATGTTAGATGACGATCATTCTACTTGATGAAAGTTGTGCTAAAGTATAGTAAAGTTTGGTACAAGACGGTAAGCAGACGACAATGTTATCATCGGTCCGCCGTATCTGTATACCCAAGTGAAGCTGTCATGTCGTCTGCTACACTATCTGCTTTATAATAACTTACGTTTGTCAATATAACCCACGCAGTTCCCACACTCCGAGCTTGCTTCTGACACCAAGCCCCAATAGTGCATGTTCCGAGGTAGACATGCTGTACTATGAATAGTGTCAAGTCTGCCCGCTCCTTACTACTGCTACAAGTTGTACATACACTCGCATTCCGATCAGAAAAAACACCCACCTTCCACTGTGCCCTTGGTCCGGGATACTGACTGGGGTGTTCTGTGCTGCGTGTTGCCGTTGACGATGATGTGGTCAGTGTGTGGTCACATCATGGGCGGGTCTCCTCGTGTGCCGCTGAGTGCCGTGACTAACGCCGACTAATCCTCCTCCCATATCGCTGCTGAAGGAGCACGCTGCGATGGTGCAGATGGGTCGGGTTACGCTGCCCCATGGGAAGCTCCCCGACAGACGCGGGGGTGGGGAGGAGGGGGGAGGTATCTCTCACCACTGACACTACACACAGATGGAGGGGGAGATGCAGGGGGTAGAGCAGGGATGTGTAACATGTGCTCATCAACCTAGCAGGACCCTGCAATAAATGATGTGATCAGAAATTAGCATAATGAAAAACTGAACGCGGGAATTCTTAGTGGATTTAAAATATATGTTCCCTTCACTTACGAACAATTGATAGAAGAAGCAGACGACAGCGAAGAAGAAGGAGGAGGGGAAGAAGAAGAAGGAGACAAAACTGTCCTCTTGGGACAGAGTACAAACACTACAACACATTCTGTACAAATATGATTGATATGATATAAATTATATCAATATTGTAAATATATGCACTACTGGGTGGATTAAACATACAGTTTTTGGAGTAGACTATACTGTGGTTACAAATACTGTTTCCCACGTTAAGACCACATTATGAAATTTGGTTTATGTTGTCCAGTATTGAAATGTATTACATAATTTGTAGTCCCACATAACATAGCCAGTATAGGTTTTCTTGTGAGTGCATTCATAGTGGTCATCAATATGTATAAAGTGAATGTGAGGGTACTTTCTACGTTAACCTGTTAACCTTTCAAATGCAAGTTTGATTTGCTAAGGTAGACACGCCACCCCCACCCCCGCTTTCACCTCCCCATTTGCTAAGGTGGACACGCCACCCCCACCCCCGCTTTCACCTCCCCCACTCCAACCCACCACACACCCTTTTAAGAATCACACATGGCCTCTCATTACCTATACCTGTTTCTGAAAATTAATGAAAAACAATCGAATTAATTAATTTCGCATTCCTTACCCAGTTGTCAATTTCCCGTCAAATTAAGCATTCAAAGTATAGCTATAAACAGATGGACACGTTCCTGTTGGTACAGACACCTTAATTGCATCACACCTTCGGACTCCAGTCTCTCGGGGCCGGATTGTCATGTTACTGGAGACAGCCTTAACACAGATGACACGACTTCCCATATGGATCCTTGTTTACAACTGGACTGCAGTGATCTACGTTTGTCACTTGAACAACTGTAGTAGGCCAGGTTGACAGGCTCACACATACCAAAACATAGCTCTATGAATATCCTTCTCCTTCCTCAACGCACTTTGTACGCTAAAATCCTGTTCCTGAAATGAATTTTTTTACAGAAAAACAACAGTTATTAAATCAACTGAAGACAATATAATAAAAAAGAGATAGAGGCCTTCTTCATTCTTTAACTGCAATAATCTAGACTTACCTACTGTTATAGATATAGTATTGTGTTTCTGGGATGTATTTGGTTCAGGATCTGTATGTCAGACAACACGTGGTGACGCTGACACACACTGACTGTTGCCACAGTTTCCTCAGTGTTGCAGAGTAACACGCTGCCACTCAACACGTAGGTAATTGATTGTGAAAAGTAAAAATCAATTCAAGACTGCACAAGTGAACTATCGAATCACATTCATTATTCGTCAGGTGGCGCAGTGGCATTTGCATACGAGAGCACTGCCGACATGTTTGTCTGTCTCTCACTCCCTGAACCGCATTATTCTCCATCCCCTAGCCCTGTCTGCAATGTTAGTCTGTCTCTCACTCCCTGAACCGCATTATTCTCCATCCCCTAGCCCTGTCTGCCATGTGAGTCTGTCTCTCACTCCTCAACCGCATTATTCTCCATCCCCTAGCCCTGTCTGCAATGTTAGTCTGTCTCTCTATTCCCCGAACTGCATTATTCTCCATCCCTAGCCCTGTCTGCCATGTTAGTCTGTCTCTCACTGTCATTATGCTCCACCCCTCCCTGTTAGTCTGTCAACCTGTCTCACTCTCATTGCATTATTCTCCATCCCCTAGCCCTGTCTGCCATGTTAGTCTGTCTCTCACTCCCTGAACCGCATTATTCTCCATCCCCTAGCCCTGTCTGCCATGTTAGTCTGTCTCTCACTCCCTGAACCGCATTATTCTCCATCCCCTAGCCCTGTCTGCAATGTTAGTCTGTCTCTCACTCCCTGAACCGCATTATTCTCCATCCCCTAGCCCTGTCTGCAATGTTAGTCTGTCTCTCACTCCCTGAACCGCATTATTCTCCATCCCCTAGCCCTGTCTGCCATGTTAGTCTGTCTCTCACTCCCTGAACTGCATTATTCTCCATCCTAGCCCTGTCTGCTATGTTAGCCCTCCTGAACAGCATGTCTAGCCCTGTGTCTGCCATGTTAGTCTGTCTCTCACTCCCTGAACCGCATTATTCTCCATCCCTAGCCCTGTCTGCAATGTTATTCTGTCTCTCACTGCATTATTCTCCATCCCTAGCCCTCTGGTCTGCCATGTTAGTCTGTCTCTCACTCCCTGGAACTGCGTTATGCTCCATCCCTCTAGCTCCTGTCTGCCATGTTAGTCTGTCTCTCACTCCTTGAACTGTGCATTATGCTCCATCCCCTAGCCCTGTCTGCACTGCATTAGTCTGTCCACCCCTAGCCCTGTCTAGTTTGTCTCTCTACTTGTTAGTCTGTCTCTCACTCCCTGAACCGCATTATGCTCCATCCCCTAGCCCTGTCTGCCATGTTAGTCTGTCTCTCACTCCCTGAACCGCATTATTCTCCACCCCTAGCCCTGTCTGCCATGTTAGTCTGTCTCTCACTCCCTGAACCGCATTATTCTCCATCCCCTAGCCCTGTCTGCCATGTTAGTCTGTCTCTCACTCCCTGAACCGCATTATTCTCCATCCCCTAGCCCTGTCTGCCATGTTAGTCTGTCTCTCACTCCCTGAACCGCATTATTCTCCATCCCCTAGCCCTGTCTGCCATGTTAGTCTGTCTCTCCTCCCTGAACCGCATTATTCTCCATCCCTAGCCCTGTCTGCCATGTTAGTCTGTCTCTCACTCCCTGAACCGCATTATTCTCCATCCCCTAGCCCTGTCTGCCATGTTAGTCTGTCTCTCACTCCCTGAACCGCATTATTCTCCATCCCCTAGCCCTGTCTGCAATGTTAGTCTGTCTCTCACTCCCTCAACCGCATTATTCTCCATCCCCTAGCCCTGTCTGCAATGTTAGTCTGTCTCTCACTCCCTCAACCGCATTATTCTCCATCCCCTAGCCCTGTCTGCCATGTTAGTCTGTCTCTCACTCCCTGAACCGCATTATTCTCCATCCCTAGCCCTGTCTGCAATGTTAGTCTGTCTCTCACTCCCTGAACCGCATTATTCTCCACCCCTAGCCCTGTCTGCAATGTTAGTCTGTCTCTCACTCCCTCAACCGCATTATTCTCCATCCCCTAGCCCTGTCTGCCATGTTAGTCTGTCTCTCACTCCCTCAACCGCATTATTCTCCATCCCCTAGCCCTGTCTGCCATGTTAGTCTGTCTCTCACTCCCTGAACCGCATTATTCTCCATCCCCTAGCCCTGTCTGCCATGTTAGTCTGTCTCTCACTCCCTGAACCGCATTATTCTCCATCCCCTAGCCCTGTCTGCCATGTTAGCCTGTCTCTCACTCCCTCAACCGCATTATTCTCCATCCCCTAGCCCTGTCTGCCATGTTAGTCTGTCTCTCACTCCCTCAACCGCATTATTCTCCATCCCCTAGCCTGTCTGCCATGTTAGTCTGTCTCTCACTCCCTCAACCGCATTGTTCTCCATCCCCTAGCCTGTCTGCAATGCTAAAGCTCTAAATGAAACAAGTCTAGATATTCTCAGGTTCTGAGGCTTAATTAGTTAATTTAATCCGACTACAATGAGTTGTGAATCGCCCCGTTTATCAAAAAGTGTCAAATGTCTACAGTCATCTTTCTCTACAAAAACACGCTCACAACGGAAAAGTACGTCTGAACTTATCTTGGATGGCCCGTCACTAACCATTGATGAGGCAGGCCTTGCATCCGTGTATCGGGAGTAAATGTAGTTCCTGCTAATATTATTGACAGTTCTATGTATTATGTGACGAAAGAACGTACCTAACCAAACTGAGGGTCCCTGCTAATTTCTGTCATCAACAATATCATCGCGAACGTGTATTGGACTGTTGAATCCTTTAGGCACGGGTTGAAGCATTCTCTTCCCACAGAGGTTACTTGTCATATCTTCTTACGTAGGAAGATATGACAGGAGTAACCTCTGTGGGAAGAGAATGGGGTTGAAGTGGCACAGAAGACACTGGTTCAAGCACAGTCAGTGTTTGCTGCTGGAGTAGACTAACAGCTAGTCTCTGAAATGCATATATTTTACAGAAAATAAAAGTTTTTAAAATAAAATTGTAAATGCAATAAAAGAGCCCAGGGACTTTCTTCATTGTCAGAAGCTGTGGAAATCTAGACTTGCCACATTTTCTAGACTTGCGTGGGCTTTCTTGGACATATTTGCTTCAGGGTCTGTACGACAGACTACTGCTAGAGGTGTGTACACGTTCGTTGATCTTTGGTTTGATGACGACGTTGGTGGCAATCCCCAAACCGAAGACCCTTCACACACGTCAGGTATGACATGGTTGGGTCCGAAGCGCACTTTGACAACGTCGAAGGTTATCCAACAGGTGGCGTTGTACAAAGCATACCTTAGCGCTATGCCAGCCCTAAGTCTATGTTATGGTATGGGCGTTACGATCACCTTAGCGCTATGTCAGCCCTAAGTCTATGTTATGGTTTGGGCGTTACGATCACCTTAGCGCTATGCCAGTCCTAAGTCTATGTTATGGTATGGGCGTTACGACCACCTTAGCGCTATGCCAGTCCTAAGTCTATGTTATGGTATGGGCGTTACGACCACCTTAACGCTATGCCAGCCCTAAGTCTATGTTATGGTATGGGCGTTACGACCACCTTAGCGCTATGCCAGTCCTAAGTCTATGTTATGGTATGGGCGTTACGACCACCTTAGCGCTATGCCAGTCCTAAGTCTATGTTATGGTATGGGCGTTACGATCACCTTAGCGCTATGTCAGCCCTAAGTCTATGTTATGGTATGGGCGTTACGATCACCTTAGCGCTATGCCAGTCCTAAGTCTATGTTATGGTATGGGCGTTACGATCACCTTAGCGCTATGCCAGTCCTAAGTCTATGTTATGGTATGGGCGTTACGACCACCTTAGCGCTATGCCAGTCCTAAGTCTATGTTATGGTATGGGCGTTACGACCACCTTAACGCTATGCCAGCCCTAAGTCTATGTTATGGTATGGGCGTTACGACCACCTTAGCGCTATGCCAGTCCTAAGTCTATGTTATGGTATGGGCGTTACGACCACCTTAACGCTATGCCAGTCCTAAGTCTATGTTATGGTATGGGCGTTACGACCACCTTAGCGCCATGCCAGCCCTAAGTCTATGTTATGGTATGGGCGTTACGGCCACCTTAGCGCTATGCCAGCCCTAAGTCTATGTTATGGTATGGGCGTTACGACCACCTTAGCGCTATGCCAGCCCTAAGTCTATGTTATGGTATGGGCGTTACGACCACCTTAGCGCTATGCCAGCCCTAAGTCTATGTTATGGTATGGGCGTTACGACCACCTTAGCGCTATGCCAGTCCTAAGTCTATGTTATGGTATGGGCGTTACGACCACCTTAGCGCTATGCCAGCCCTAAGTCTATGATATGGTATGGGCGTTACGACCACCTTAGCGCTATGCCAGTCCTAAGTC